CCCCCCAATTACCCAAAGAATCTTTTTTTTTTTTTCCTCATCTTGGGGGCCAGGAATCATTGCAGCACCTTGAACTTCACAGTACAATGCTGCAGAGAACAGAGCTGATGTCACTCTCAGCGCATCTCTCTCAATTATCAAGGACAACCATCGCTGGACTAGAAGAGAGAAGGACAGAGTACCATGTGCTTCACATGGCCAGCTAGAAGACCCCTGGGAAAACGTGTGTATATAAAAACATTTTAAAACTGAAATAGGCTGTGTTGCGTACCCCTCCGTTTGCCTGCTTTTGGACATCCCAAAGGTCTAAGACTTCTGTGTCAGGGGTTATCCTGGGCTGGCCTACAGTTTTTATTCTTTGCCAGTATCCAATCCTCCGGCAGGTGGCAGTATAAACCATAGCGTTAAGACTTTTTCCTGTGGATTGTGACTCCAAGAGAGCTATTTTAAGGCGAGTACAAAAATCCTATTCTATTGCATATTTTTTCTTTTATTATTATGTAGTTCATTAGTGTCTAATGATTAGTACACTGTTTTTTTATGTAATGCATGTTAAGCATACAAAACTTTTTATTGCAGACTCTTGGGACACCTCTTCAGAATCTCATACCAATCTGACTACCCGTACCCAAGCCCCATGTACAGCCCCTCGTACACAGAGAGGCAGTAATCTGGTGAGTACAGTGCGTATTAGAGAGAACTGTTTGGTTTTTTTAATGAGACCTGGTTCGGTATTTATGCTTATTCAAAACGGTTTACTTTGTTTTCCAGACAGCACCTATCAATCCCTCCCTGTTGACTCCTGGTTCTGTATCTTCTACATATAGTGATCGAGGTTTATTCTCCCCTCCATCATTAAATGCTTGTAAGGAATAATGGAAGTTGACTTAAAGTGCATGTATACCCTGACAATGAACTTCTCTTATTTGGTCCCTTTTGGTCTGTTAAAGATACAATTGAAAGTGTTTTGTTATATCTGTTTGATAGGTACAAAAAGAATACCTGTTGATTATGCCATAAATTTGGTGACCAGATAATAATATTCTGTGCTGTTTGCCTCTGCCAACTGTGATCAATTCTGTTTCCAGTTCTCTTTGTGGACTACAGAACACCTTCCCCTATTTCATGAAGAGGAGGAGATGAGAAGGTTTTCTGTTCCATCACACTTCCTGTCCTAGGGTGACAATGCTGCTGCGCCACAGTACAGAGTGGGTGTATTATCATCCTAGGACAGAAAGCGTGCAACTGACAAAATCACCAGGTGAAAATAAAGAGAAAAAGCTCGGAAAAGGAAAACTAATGCAGCCACCGCGTCTAAGGACTGGTAAGCTGCAATAGTTTACAATTAAAGAGTATCTAAAAAAGTGTTAAGGTAATCTGTCAACTATTCAAGGGAAAAAAATCCTAATGGGGTAGTTCCAATGCGGTTCTCTGATTTATTTTAACTTCAGTATAAGCCTGGGTTTAGCCTAGACCAAGTGCCATTCCCCTGTCTAGTATGAGCACATCAGTGGCCATTAAGAACAGGCCTTTGGACAGACGAGGCTGAACCCAGAAGTCAGGCCCTTGGTAACAAAGTGAAGCTAAATCAGAGAGGAACATATAGGAGGGATTTCTGGCTAATAAATGTAACGTTCGGCAGCTTGTGGTGTCTGCTTATAGACAGAGCTTTGATAACTTTACATTGGTGGACAGGTTCATGTTCATAATAGAAGTTATTGAAAAGCAGCTGCATGTACAGAAAATGTGGTGTTTGTCAACCGTTTTATCTGCATAACCCTCCTTTAAAAGCACATCATCACTTAACAGACTTGAATGACCCTCAACTATATAAAAGTTCTCTGAGCACTTGTGATTATCCGAGTCAGATACACAGATAACTGCAAACCTCACTCTTCTCCTACGGTCCTTAGTGTCTTCCTCCATGGGAATACATTTCTCTAGCTAACCTGTTACCACATTTGGAAGCAATCAAAAATCCAATCTAATAGTGCAAAAGAGCTTTTATTAAAACCACATTTAAAACATTATGAACAAGAATCATACTCGGCCACAGCATATAGTGACCCCACCCATAGTGTTTTGTCAGCCCGAGTCTGTATTAGGTGCTTGGCTTATGATGTCACATCATCTTTGTTATATTAACAAAAGTGCCTTAGTCCTTTCACTTGTTTTAAAAGTATGTTGAATAATGCTTCCATGTGCTGCGTTATAGTTTTGTATGTGCAAGCAAAGATGTGTATTATTAAATACTCTAAGCCCTGGGTTTTGTTAGTTTGTTGGCTTTATAGATAGTCCCAGCTGCCGCGTTTCTTTGGGGATTAAAAGTAGATTAGCGCACACTGCTGCTTGTATTCATACTACAGTAGTTGGATGTGCTGTTTGCAATCTGTGCATGAAAAACTGGTTTTGGTACCCTTTATGTGGATGTCAGCAGATGTGATTACCTTCTGGGGCTTTAGAAGAAATGCTGGTGTTCCCAGCTTTGCTGCCATTTACTTACCTCAGTGTCTTTTACAAAAGGTGTATATTGTATTTGTGACAACTTGCATTATAATAGCAGTATAACCTGGTATCATATGTGTAGCAAATGGTATATAACAGTAATGGAGGACCTAATCTTATTGGAGAAACTAGAGACATAACAGAGAGTGCTAAAGGAACCTATACCCGATGCATTCATCAAAGATCATTTTAGTATGATAACCAAGGCATTTTAGGGGGACTTGTGTTCTAAAAGATGTCTACTCAATACCCAAGGTTCCCATTTTACTTTTTTACTTGGAATTTATGTTGATAGTGGAAGGTGAGGACTGGAAGGGTGAGGGGGGAAATAACATTCCATCAGCTAAATTCTGCCTACTCTGGATAGTTTCTGTTCAAATTGAATATTAGGTGATTTCCAATTAAAGGTTATTGCGTAGCTCAATGAGGGTGTGCATCCCTCGGCTGTAGATCCTCAAATCATCTCTGAATTGGTGCTGATTCTGTCCTTCCTACTGGAGGGTGGCTACTTTTCTTCCCCATGGTCCCTGTGTGTGTGTGTTGTAAAGTAGCCACAACTCCAAGCTCACCCCCGTGATGGACTATCATCTAATGTTTAGTTTACTAATTTGTGTTGAGATTATAGTGAGCTTGGAGCCACCACTCCATGCTCGCTATAATCTCAATACACACACAGGGCCATGGGGAACAAAAGTAGCCACCCTCCAGAAAGAGGGATAGTGTCAGCATGAAATCAGAGATGATTTGAGGATCTACAGCTGAGTGATACACAAATAAGATACATTTTTGTTACTAGTTAAGGTACTTGAATTAATTTTTAAGATTTACTCCTGAGTTTAGTGTCATGTTAATGTTGGTTTTCTAGTAGATGAGTTTAGAAACTCTGTGCTATAATGTCTGAACGATTGGGCAACTCTTAAATATGTTTCTGAGTTTCCATCTCCCATCAACAACTAAAGCAGTTTTCATTGATCTCTGGAAATAAAGACCGAAGCTTTTAAAGAGTTAGTGGTAGTAAGCCACAAGATTGAAATAGTGGCCCCGAGGAGCTGTTTGTCATAATGTGCAATTACCTTGCAGGCAATCCCCCTCCAGCTACTATGTTGTGGGTACATCTGACATCAGTTAGGAGGTATTTGTTATTATTAGTAATTTTAGGGAAGTATTTTAGGGAAAGACTTCATAGGTAGTGAGGAATAATCCTGTCAAGGGCTGGGTGTGATACCAAGTTGAATTCTTTTCCAATAATCGTATGGGCTGAGCGAGATCTGCCAAGGGTATAAAAGACCCTTCTCAATAATTCTAGGATGAAGCATTTGGAGCATAAATACTGACAAATATGATGATGATCCCTGTCATGGAGCCATTTACAATATATGGTAGACCTGTTGTTGGGGTCCCTGTAAACCGATTGCAGTTGAAAAGATAGACCATTACATATGAGGACGACAACCCTTTGTTTTGGAAAAAGTGGTATAATAGCAGTAGGGTTATGCTTTGGAGAAAAAAATTAGTAGGGTTTCAGGTGCAAAAAAGTTATTTTGCAGTATTAAGATATCTGACGACGTTTGCTAATGGTTAAGGAAGGCCTTTTTACAATTTGATGAGTTAAATCCCTGCACTGTGCGTATAGTAATTAGGAAAGCACCAATATAACGGCCGCCGAAAAATATAGGCCGAAAATGGCACTTTTGGCAAAATGTCGCAAGTGCCATATTTTGGCCGAAATAGTGGTGCTATTGTTTCTCTTCTCCCCGCTGCCCTGTGTCCCAGCAGGGAGGAGGGGAACTCTCACAGGAGGCCGAGCGCTGCGGGACGAAAGCGCTGTGAGCGGCCAGCATGTCTCCCCCTCGCACCGCTCCGCCTCCTGTCACAGATCGGAAGAGCGACAGTGTGGGCGGAGACAGTGATTGCTGTCACAGGAGGCTGAGCTCCCCTCCCGCCCAGCCTCCTGTGACAGCTGTCAGGATGGAATGTGGGTACAAACACTCAGCATTCATTGATTGCTGAGTGTTAGTAAACATACTCTGTCCTCAATTATTTACAGTGTCCTCAATTATGAATAAATGGGAAGTGATCTACATAACTTCCTGTTCATTCATGATTGTGGTTATAGTCAACATACTCTGTCCTCATGTTATGAATGAACAGGAACACTTAGTATAGAAGATTCCTGTTCATTTATAACAGGGGCTGCAGAAAAAGAGATTGAAAACTCTGTGTCCTGAATCTCTTTTCCGATTTTAAAAGGGAAATATCAGGGATCTGTTTAGACCACTAATATTTCCCCGAAGCCCCTAAAAGTAAAGTGTAAAATAAAAATATTTCATAAAAATTAATTAATAAATATAAAAAAATGTAAAAGTTTATAAAAAAAACAAATAACAATAAAATATTTGAAAACGTTAGAATAAAAAACATTTTCGGTTTTCGGCCTGACATTTTGGTTGCGTTTCGGTTTTGAGATTTTCATTTCGGTGCACCTCTAATAGTAATAGCTACAATTACAAGAGAAAGTAAAACCTATCAAGATTATAATCTGTGGGTATGGGGAGGAAGGGGTAACCAAAGGGAGGTGTGTGGTCTGACATTGACAACCAGTTGTATACATATAAAGTAGACAATACTAGACCTATTTTAGCACAGATTAAACAGCAGTTCATATCAACATATGATTTTTTTTCCCCAATTTTTTTTCTCTCTGGCGATCCATAACATTTTCCATTATTTGTAGAATGATATCACTTGCTCTATTCTAGGGTTATCTCGTGGACCTAGTCCTGTTATATTGGGGTCTCAGGAGTCTCTACCCGTAGCTGCTGCCTTTACAGAATATGTGCATGCTGTCTTTGAAGATGGTGAATTGGAAGGGTGAGTCCAGCTCAAGTCTTGTATTGTTTTAATTGGTTCATACACTTACACAGGATGCTTACATTTTACTGGAGTTGCTAACAAATAGTGGCATACAAGAATCCACCACTAGAGTGGTATTAAAGGATTGTGGATGCAGGTAGGTAAGTGTTTTTCCAAAAAAGAAAAACTTTTACACAGGCCCATTCACACCTGTGAGTTGTGGTAACATGTGTGACCACAAATGCACAGCAATGCTGCAGTGTGTAGTGTTACCATTCATTTTAATTAGCACTTGAATGTGAGAAAATTGGGACTACCTGCTCGAGAGAGAGAGAGCATGTCAGCCACCGAGGTTTGCAGGGCTGTGTTTGCTGGCACACAAGCAATTCCCAAATTGAAATGACAGGCTTTGCCAATATTCTGTGTGCCTGTATTTTTTTTTATTATAAAGCAGATTTTTATGTTTGATTAAAGTGTGCTCATAAATCAGTTAGGCCTGGTTAGAAATACTGGTGAGCAGAAAAATTAGAGATGTTGATGCCTTTAGTGATCAATCAGCTTTCTGTTATTCTCTGGGAAAATAAATCATGGGATTGTGGTGCTCCTGTTTTCCCTCTAGGTCCAGTAGCATCTTGAAGGAAACATGTAATTGAAATTGTGCTGTAGCAGTGTTTCCTAACACTGGCTTTCCTGACAGTTTCTTTCTATGAGTAGGTTAAATGGGCCACGATAACACAGCGAACCTTCAAAGAGCTAGAAGCCAGTATCTAGTAATACGTTAACCTCCCTGGCGGTATTCCAGAGTGTGGCTCGGGGTTAATTTTCAGTACCAATAGCGGTAACCCTGAGCCACACTCAGGGTTACTGCTTTGTGTGCCCGGCCGATATCGGCATCCAACTTTTAGTTTAGTTTTCGGCGTCACAGCGGGGGGCGGGAAATTCAAAAGTGAAAACATGACATTTACACAGAATACACACAATACAATGTAATCTGCTATCATTACATTTCTGTATCAAACTATTTCACTTCAATTTTGTCCCTAGAGCTTTGTCCAGTGGCCTGCCTGACACTTTTACTGTTCTTTCAGCCTGGAAACTTGAGAACATCCATGGCATCCAAAAAGTGTCCCTTTTAGGTCAAAAGCGGTTTTAGACCAGGTAGAAAAAAGCGATAGTAAATTAGAATCACTTGCAGAATTGAGCGAAAGCGATTCGTTGGGAAATTCGTCATCAGACACTGAAAGTGACGACAGCGACGATTCTGCGACCGAGCTCAGTGATGTGTGAACTCGGTACTCTATTGACTGTGGTACGGATCAGGCAGCGTCCCCAGAATTCCCATTTACTGGACCATTTTTTATAATTATTATATTATAATTTTTTAATTTCGTGTTTCAAACTTTATCATAACTGGGATGTCTACTGGACTCTTGTTTGGACAGATTTAGGTGAGTTATTTCTAAGATTTACTAAGAATTACAGGCCTACAATATAAAACAACAAATTTCCATGAAAAACAATGTACCGCTTTGGCATGCTAAAGTCCTGCATAATCAGACCGCCAGGGAGGTTAACTAACATTTTATTGTCAGTTCTGAGAAATACTTTTCTATATTCTAGGTCAGGCCTGCGCATCTCAGGGGAACTTACAATGTCCTTTCCAGGAGGTATACTTCGCGTATTTGGAGGATCTACTCCTCCTCCTGTTTTAAGTTTTCGCTTAGTCCACACCTCAGATGTTGAACATTTCATTCCTAATTCTGATCTTTTGTATAGGTAAGATGACGGTGATGAAATCTAGCATACATATTATTTCTGGAACTCCAGTTTTTTCAGCTTTCGCTGTAACTGTGACCCATCTTGTTTTCCACAGTGACTTATCTCAGAGTGACCACAGCTGCAAGGACTTCTGGTTAAACATGCCAAGGCTAACATGCCACTTACAGAATCTGGCGGAACAGCATATTGCTCCCTACTACAATGTCGTTCTGCTTAAATACCAGGTGCTTTATTCCTCTTGTTCAGTGACCTTGGGCAGCTTTGAGGGCCGCTTTTCTTTTGCGATTAATTTCAACAATATTTTTCAGTCTTGTAAGCAAAATGAAAGAAAGCGTCTTTGTTTAGATGACCTATTTTTTAAATACCATTTAGGTCTAGTTTGGGAGATGAATACGGACAAGAAAAATTAAGTCTTTGTCTCTGAAAGTTTGGGGGAAGGGGAAAGAAGGTGGTTTTAAGGGTGCAGCAGGCTTTAAATGGCTCCTGAGGGCTATGAAAGCTCCTTTTGATTATACAGGAGTTGCTATTGTGCCAAAAAACAGAATTTATATTGTGCATGATTTTTCCACAAAACAAAATTAGAGCAACTGTACACAAGTACCAATCAAATGCACACAAGGAATGGAAAACGCATACAAAAAGCATTAAATAAAATTAATTGAGCTACCTTTTAATATCCCCCCGCTCCCCCCAAAAAAACTCGTACTCCATATAAATCAAGTTTTGTCTAAGCAGCCCCATAAATGAAATTGAGGATTTCCACTTTGGCATAATTGGTTGTTTAAAAATTCAATGTACAATTAGTGTCTCAAGAAGTAATGCTGCCTTTTAAAATATACTTTTATATGTTAATATATTGTATATAAAACTAACATAACTAGTTAGGCTTTGTTATTTAAAGCATGAGGTAGTTTATGGAAATATTTTATATACCCTGTTACCCCGAAAATAAGACCTAGTACTATTTTTGGGAATTGCTAAAATATAAGACCTACCCCGAGAATAAGACCTAGTTGTGACCATTTCCAGGGTCGGTGGTGGCATAAGGGGGAACTTGAAGAGCTGCAGGAGAGAATCAGCGGTGCCAACGAAGTCAGCTCTAGAGGAGGCGAGGCGGCAGCGGAGGGAGCATAAGCCGATGCCTCCTCTATAGGGCCGGCTCCTGTCACAGTCGGAGTAATTCCAAATGCACTCCGCCTGTGAGGAATCAATAGTGAAAGCGCGCTTCACTCATTATGGCCAGTGATTTGGTTAGCAAATTGCTCTTGGAAAGGTACGGCACCCCTGATTGCCCTGATCACCATATTTTTGTACATGAATACATGTAGACTGTTGTACATGAATAAGTGTGGATTGTTGTACATTTAAAAAAATAAGACCTACCCGAAAATAAGACCTAGTGTGTTTTTTTGAGCCCCAAAAAATATAAGACAGTGTCTTATTTTCGGGAAAACACGGTACCATACAAGGGATTACTTGTAAAGTTTTTTTTTTTGTATAAAGGGGTACTTACTGTAACACTATTAGGGCTTATGGACACGGATGCAAATACAGATGTAATTGGCATACATCGTACAATATGCCGTATTTGGAGCGTTTAGTAGTCCCGGCTGCTGTGGCTTTTTTTATTTTGTCCATTGGAAAGTATGGACAGTAAACGAGTGTACATGTGTAAATGCCAGTAGCAGTATTTACATATGCATGGGAGTCTCCCCAACGCTGGCACTGGGGTTTACGTGCATACGTCTGCAGAGCAGCTAGGGCTCCCGGGTGTCGCAAATACATGCATATTTGGCTCTGTGTGCCAATACGCCTGTATTTACATCTGTGTGCATGAGCCCTTGGGAAACATTGATGTATCTGTGTCTCTAGCTTTTCCATTCTCACTCTGGTTCTCCTTCCACACAAGGTATTTAAACCTGGCATATCTGCTGTCCCCTTGCATCTTGCATCATCTTGGAACTGTAGTCCCACCTCCACAGAGTTTAGCCTGGAGTACATACAGAACACAACTTCTTTGTCTGATATTCACATACTGCTTCCACTGGATGAAACTATATCTAACCTGCAGTTTGATCCTCCAGCCAGATGGTAAGATCGTACTTGGTACATTAACTTAACACACATTAACTCTTTAGCATACTTTTGTATTTGTTTTTATTCTGTGATCACATTACCTCAATAGAGAAAAGATGATTTAACAAAAGTTGTATACATGCAGTGTATACATACTATAATTATTTGAGTATTTATACTCAAATAATTATATAATTGATTTATATTCCTTGACAATTGAAGGAGGGATTACTCCATTAGTAAGTTGCTGTTCCTTTCTAAATCCAGTCCATCTTGACCACTTTGCATTGCTTTACCCGCAGTCAAGAAAACAAAATGGCCAAGGCCTTGTTAGGTGTCTATCTAAAATCTAATGAGAGGGCTAGATCATGGTACTAGGAGTCCAAAATAGACCTAAAACAGCAAACACATATCAAAGGTGTATAGATCACCCCCTTCTTCAGGGATCAAATGTTTGTAATTAAGAGGGCAGAAAAATGGCACAGTCACTAGAAATAATCATTTGGAAACATAACAGTGTGTGACCTAGAACAATAAAGATGCAGCATGCTCTAGTATGAAATGAATGACCGTGACCTTCTACGCTACAACTATGAATCACTGATGAGTCAAATTCAGTGCGTCAGTCATGCATTTTCTTGTATAATGTTTGGCAGTGGTATCAGGATTAGAAAACTGGCTGAACACAATATAATATAGTGCACACCAAAAACGTGATATACGGTAATATCTTATCCTAAAGAAAGTGTTGTGGTACGTATCCATTTATTATATTTCAGAATTGAAGAATACAAGTTTACAAATATTTTCCTTGTAGTCAGGTAATGACATAATCCCTGGTACTCATGAAGAGTGTTCTAGAATTCTATCATGCCTGAACATGACAAATGTTGGTGTAGGCCAGCACCAAGGCCAAAGTGTCTATACAGGACACTCTGCCTCAGTGTAGCACAGTAATGCTGAGCCTAAAAAGAAAACCTCAGTGTTACTGAATCTTGCTGTTGGGTGGGCAGAGCCTAATGGGGAAGCTAAGAGACTGCATGCGAAGCCATGCAGAGCAAAGCGAAGCCGTGATGTGCGGACAGTCGCATGCAGTGTGTAAGCTGAGCGCGGCCAAATGAAAGACTGCATCTTCAGCCAGTCGGCTCGCTTCCTGCCTTAGTGAGAGCCAATTGGCTGAAGATAAAATGTTTTATCTCGGCTTGCTCAGCTTTGCGAGCTGACGTGCCCTGGAGTGAAAATTACAAGACAGACTGCACGCGAAGGTCCACGCGCTACCGCATCATGTGCAGTGTGTCACAGGCTTAATGTCCCATCTGGTCGTCTTATTATGATTAACAGTGGACGGATTCTATTGTCATATTTGGCAATAGAGGGAAGGTCTCGCATTTATGATGGCTTTCTTAGGCAGACATGCCCAAGCTTCATCTGTCATACTGTCTCTTTAGCTGACCTGTAAGTACATATTTTGTTACATGTTGCCCATTCAAGGCACAACATGCCAGCACTCCCCCCCCTCGTTCCTTCCTCCATCGCAGCCAGTGACCATAATTGGTGCTTTCAGATCTAGAGGAGTATGTGACCTCCTCCAGGTCAACAGCCAATCGCAACTTTCACATGATGAAGAGTGACACCATCACCTTCCTTGGTTACGGACATCATTCACTTTAGTGTTAGCTGCAATGGAAAGAGTAGCGGGGGTTCACCGATAAGGTGACTGTAAAGCGGTCAGGGGATGGCGGGGGTTGTTGGCCTTTGAATAGACGCTGTCACTCTGCCCTGTAAGAGCAAGATAGCAGTGTCTCTTTAAAAAAGTTTAATGGAACACCTGTTAAAAAAAAATAAAAGTTTAATGGTAACAAAAAGCTCAAATGATATGACTAAGACCTTTATTTTCCCTCTAATAAGTCTATTGCTATTAGCTAGAAATGTGATCATCTGACATAGCTGTCATGTGTTTGTACATTGATTGTTTCGTTTCACTGTTTAAAAATAGAGATGTGCTGTTCACTCCGGTTATTATTGATGCATCTGTATGTGACTCCTATGTATGCAACAATTTCTGTTGACCTTACTGATCTGTCCGAATTCTTCCTTTAGTTCTGAGAGAAGATTGCTGTGGCAGATCCCTAGTACATCATCTGGTAAGTAAACATAACGTGCTTTCTGATATCATGGAGGGTGATAGATTGTGTTTTCAAAATGGCAATATAAGTAGGAATGGCCCTACTGTTCTAGATTTAATTCTTTATGTCTTCAGGTTGAAATAGTATGACATCACTGATGGGCTATAAAAATTCCCCAAAAATCTAAATTAAAATGAGTGTTTTATGCTCATTTCTGTTGATTTCATGAACACTATATTAAAGTAAGGTGAAGCTAATTTTCTGTCCTGTTACAAATACTTGGCCCTTTAGCAAAAAATATGCATAATGCATACTTAGCGCTTATTTCCACTTTTGCAGTCAAATTTAAATTATATATGTATATATCTATATATGTGTAT